GGATCAGATTCAAATAAATCAAGTATTTATTGAGTGCCTACTCTGTGCAAGGTACTGTGCTAGACCTGGTGCCTAGAAGCCCTGAGAAAGAACAACTTACAGAGCTAGGAAGACAGAGGCCCCCAAGCTGATCTGGGGGTGCATCCACACACCCCCACCCTGGGACTTCGGATGCTCCCATCTCCACCACCAGTGACTTTTAAAGCCGCTTCGTGCCTTTCCTGTAACTTTGGATCCTCCTTTTCTGTCCCCTGCTGTCTCAAGGCCCCAAGTTAAAGGGTTAAAGCCGCTGGAGCTTGGGGAGAGAACATTGTGGAATGGAAGGGGTCATGCCCTTTGTGGAGTCTTTTTTTTTAATTTAATAAATAAAAGTTGAATTTGAAATTTTGTCCTGGTGAGAAAAGGAGAAGAGGAAGGGCGAAGCGAGGGCCAATGAGCTTTTCTCCCTTAGCAAATTGGGGACCACTCATGGGCGAATATTCTATTGTGCACGTTTGCTTATTATGCTCGCGGCGAAATAGAAATAGTTTATCTGCCGGGCGCGGTGGTTCACGCCTGTAATCTCAGCACTTCGGGAGGCCAAGAAGGGCGGATCACCTGAGGTTAGGAGTTCAAGACCATGCTGGCTAACATGGTGAAACCCCGTCTCTACTAAAAACACAAAAATCAGCCGGGCGTGGTGGCAGGTGCCTGTAATCCCAGCTGCTTGGGAGGCTGAGGCAGGAGAATCGCTGGAACCTGGGAGGCGGAGGTTGCAGTGAGCTGAGATCGCGCCACTGCACTCCAGCGTGGGCGGCAGAGCGACTCCGTCTCAAAACAAAACACAAAACAAAATTGTTTCTCGGTCAAATCCTCTGGCGGTGTTGTTTTTGGGCGTGCAGTGCTTTCTGCAGAGTTGCGAAGACTCACTGGTTTCTACCCTGGCCCTTTCTGGACTGCACCAATTGAGCCTGGTCAGGGCAGTGACGCGACCGAGCGCTGGCACCGCGGTTGCAGTGCGGACTACTGCGCGGCCCCAGTCGGGCGGTGGTGCGACTCCCGGCGGGCAGACTGGGCCTGGCACGTAACCCGCCCCCTGCCCGGGGCCTGCAATCAGTTGTGCCCGCCACGGAGTTAGCCGAAGAACAAAAGCCACTCTGTGGCGGCCATCCCCGAGCTACAATAGGGCTTTGTGCGGCCCCCGCCCCCAGGGTTCCCCTGCTGGGCTGAGAGGACTCACAGGCCACTCCCCCCGGCCTGGGCCCGACTCCCAGCTGCGACCCGCGTCGGACTGTCCACCGCGCGGGTTGCAAGAGGCGCTACTCCGGGTGGGAGGGGGCCGGCGATCCTGGGCGGGCTCGGGTTACGAGTCCCCCCACCCCCTGACGCCACTCCCGCCCCCGCCCAGGTGCGAAATCTCCTGCCCTCTGGCGGGGCGCGCTGCTTCAAAGTCGCTTTGAAGAAATCCGAGTTCCGAAGACTTCTTTAGTGGGCTGGGGGCTGTGACTGAAGAGACACGGGAGACGGGGCTGGGGCGGAGGAAGGGCTGGGGGCGCCTTGGAGCTGGTCTGAGCGAGGCGACGGCCTGGATGGAGTGGACCCCCGGGACCCCGCCCCAACACCGCCGGACGGGCTCCTCCGGACCCCCCAGAGCCTGGCCCTCTCGCCTCCCGGTCTCCGCCTGTCCGGTGCCAGCTCTCGCCCGCCGCAGCCTCGCGGTCCTCCCCTCCCCAGCCCCTCGGCCCCTTTCATCTTCCCTAGACTCCGCTTGGGGTTTTGCTGGTTTCTGGGAGATAAAAACCGCTTCAAATAGCGGCGGCGCGCTGCCAGGACAAACAGGGCCGGGCGGGCCATGTGCGCCGGGTTACTGGCCCCGGGTCGGGACGCCGGGCTCCAGCGGGCCCAGGAAGGGGTGGCGGGCGGAGCTCCAGGCACCCAGGCTCCGGCGATGACTCCCAAAGTGGGGGGCCCCTTTTAGAAGCGGCCTGCGCGCTGTCTCGGTTCCCGCCCAGGTCGTAGGGAGGGGCAGGCGGAGACCGCCCGCTAAGCGCTCCGAGCCCATAGGGTCACAGTCGCTGCGTCGCCGGGCCCGCAGCGCCCCCTGGTGAAGTTACTGGGTGAGCGCGCTAGGCCTGGACTTGGGCCTTTCTAGAACCCGCAAATTGTGAAAAGCGTTCCACAAACGTTAGATAAGCAGCATGGGGGAGGGGACAGTACTTGTGCCAGGCCAGGGAGAGGGGGCAGCGGGCGGAACAGCACTGTTCCTTCTCACCGGTTCACCTTACAGGGTAAAATGCAGGCACCTAAACCGATCATTATAACCTGTTGGTGAAAATCGAGGTTTCATCGAAGGATGCAAGTTGCAGGCCGGAGTGATTTTTCCTAGGGGTATCTGGGTTTGGATGGTGTTACCACTAAGGTACAAACGGAAACTATCGTAGGTCTTCAGTGCTCTCCACTAATCTGTCAGTCACCTATTCCCTCTTTTCCTCAAACCTGCCCACTTCCCCTTCTCAGAGAGAGCTTTCCCAGCCAGGTTCCCCAAACCATCCCTAGTGTATACCTTATGCTCTTCAAGCTTTCTGTGACTTCCCAGGTGACGGTGAACTCATTTAGGAAACTAAATGGGGCTATGGGAAAAGGTTAGAGCAGGAGTCCCGCCGCCCGTAGTGTTAGTGGCCTGTAAAGGAAGCGCACAGCAGGAGGTGAGCTGAGCAAGCTGAGCTCCGCCTCCTGTCAGATCAGCGGCATTAGATTCGCATAGCAGCGCGAACCCTGTTGTGAACTGCGCACGTGAAGGACCTAGGTTGCTCGCTTTTTATGAGAATCCAACTAATGGCTGATGATCTCAGGTGTAACAGTTTCATCCCAAAACCGTTCCCTCCCCCGCTCCCCGTGGAAAAACTGTCTTCCACTAAACCTGGTGCTAAAAAGATTGGGGACCCCTACGTTAGAGCCTTGCTACTTAAAATGTCGTCTGTGCAGTATCAGCTGGGGATTCTTTGGAAATATAGCCTCTGAGCTCCACCCTAGAAGATGCCCAGGAGATTCATATGTCCCTTAACAGTTGAGAAGTACTAGATTAGAGGAGATCCACTTGCCTTCTCAGGTGAAGTACATTTTCAGGAGACTGCGGAGCCCTTTGTTTTCTGACCTGGGAATAACTCTCTTGGGGGGAATTTTTCGGGTGAAAAAGAAGGGCAGACACGGAATCCAGAATACTAGAACTAAATGCCCCCTAGATTATTCAATGAGACTGGTAGCTCTTGGGAGTGGAGACTGCCTTCTACTTCTTCAAATCACTTAACATTTGTTAATGAACTCTGACCAAGGTCACCTAGTTGATGGCACAGTTATAGCTATTAACCTCTGACATTTGTTTAGCACTTTAAAATTTATTAAATAGCTTCACTTCATTATTTTGTATGGAAAACAACCATATGAAATAATTAGGACACTGTAAATGAGAAAAGTGAGACTCAAAGAATTCAATGTTTCTTTCTCCCTCTCCCTTTTATTCTTTTTCTTTTTTTTTTTTTGAGATGGAGTTTCACTCTTGTTGCCTAGCTTGGAGTGCAGTGGCGTGTTTCTGCTCACCGCAACCTCTGTCTTCCAGGTTCAAGTGATTCTCCTGCTTCAGCCTCCCAAGTAGCTGGGATTACAGGCATGCACCATAATGCCCCGGCTAGTTTTGTATTTTTAGTAGAGACAGGGTTCCTCCATGTTGGTCAGGCTGGTCTCAAACTCCCGACCTCAGGTGATCAGCCCACCTCAGCCTCCCAAAGTGCTGGGATTACAGGTGTGAGCTACCATGCCCAGCCTCACTTTTATTCTTAAATCAGAATAACTGGTTTGGGTGTATCTAGGTCCAATCTCTCTGTGACTCACTTTCCTCGTGGTGACAGAACAGCACCCACCTTATGGGGTTGTAAAGATTATAAGAGCACTTATCATAACAAGTGCTCAGGAAATAGTTTTGCAGCCTGGCAAGGTGGCTCAGGCCTGTAATCCCAGCACTTTGGGAGGCCAAAGCGGGCGGATCACTTGAGGTCAGGAGTTTGAGACCAGCCTGGCCAACATGGTAAAACCCCATCTGTACTAAAAATACAAAATTAGCTGGGCGTGGTGGCGCATGCCTGTAATCCCAGCTACTCCAGAGGTTGAGGGAGGAGAACCGCTTGAACCCAGGAGGCAGAGGTTGCCTTAAGCCGAGATAGCGCCACTGCCTTCAGCCTGGGCAATAGAGTGAGACCCTGTCTCAATAAAATAAAATAAAATAAAGTTTTCCTTTCTTTTTTTGTGAGACAAAGTTTTGCTTTTGTTGCCCAGGCTGGAGTGCAGCACAGCCATCTCGGCGCACTGCAACCCCTGCCTGCCGGGTTCAAGAGATTCTCACGCCTCAGCCTCCCGATTAGCTGGGATTACAGATGCCCGCCACCACGCCCGACTAATTTTTGTATTTTTAGTATAGATGGGGTTTTCGTTTTCAACATGGCCAGGCTGGTCTACGAACTCCTGACCTTCAGGTGATCCACCCACCTAGGCCTCCCACAGTGCTGGGATTACAGGCGTGAGCCACTGCGCCTGGCAGGAAATGTTACTTTTCCACCTGTCCCCACCTCCCTTTCCAGGAGTCCGCCTAACCTTGTGGGTGCAGCACTGAAAATCCTCTCTGAGGTTTTTCCCTCAGCTTTCCAGCCAGCTGCCTGTGACACAGCCTGTATTTTCCTCTGGGTGATCCACAGGCCTGGGAGGGTTAATTTGGTACTTCCCTGAATGTAGGTTATTTTGGGCTTTCTAAGCGTTAAGAGAGTGAGTTGGAAAAGGCGTTGGGGAATTCGGAGCTGGGAAAAACAGTAGTCACATGGAAAACAACAAAAAAAACCCCGCTCCAACCTGGTAACCAACTATTGGCCCGAGGACGTGTCCGCGCTGCTCCCCCTCCGGCCGCCAGGGGGCGCAGGAGGAAGCTTTGGCGGTCTGTCCCGGGACCGTACTTACTCGTACTTCTTTCCTGTTAAGTCTTTTCTTCACTTCCGTCGAGCGCCGTCTCGCTGTTTGTCCCTTGCGGCTACCCGTCTGCATACGAATCTAGCCCGGGAACCGAGTTGCGGGAGGGCGGTCTGTGCCGTTCCGGCTAGGGGTTTGCCGACTCCAGACGTCCTGCGAACCGGCAAGATGTGCTCCCTGGGGTTGTTCCCTCCTCCACCGCCTCGGGGTCAAGTCACCCTATATGAGCACAATAACGAGCTGGTGACGGGCAGTAGCTATGAGAGCCCGCCCCCCGACTTCCGGGGCCAGGTGGCCAGGGCGAGGAGGGAGGGGACCTGCAGGCATGGGGGCAGAGTCGGGGAGAATTGGGAGGCAGTGTGACAGGGGCAGGGTCGCAGAGTCTGGTGGACTGGAAACAGCTTGGCCCCGGCAGGAGAATAGAAGGGCTGGAATCTGTTTTAGGGCAGGGATTGGAGTATAAGGGGGGGTTAAGGAGCTGTGGAGAAGTCCTAGAGGGAATGGAGAGAATGAGGGAGAATCTAGGGAGTGTGAGGATGCGGGAGAACTATCTAAAAGTTGGGGACAGTATCTGAGGAGGATCAGAAAGGTACAACTTGGAACATTTTTTCCGTGGTGTACCTGGGAAGGACAAGGAAGGGAAACTGACATTTACTGAGCGTTTGTTATGTAAGAAAGAGGATGAGTCAGGTGTTTTCTAAAAATGTTATGTGGTTTCATAATCACAACCCTATGAAATATTATTCTAGTTGCACAGATACGGGAGCTAAGACTTGTTTCCCATACTAACAAGTGTTAGCTTTGTGGAAACGGAAAACAGACCTCTGGAATCTTGACTCACCATCACACCCCTCACTTTTGTGCTATAGTGGATCAATCTTCCTGTCCTACACCTGACCAAGGATCCCCTAAAGACCCCTGGAAGGCTGGACCATGGCACAAGAACTGCCTTCATCCATCACCGGGAGCAAGTGTGGAAGAGATGCATCAACATTTGGTGAGGCATGGCAAAGCGTTTTCTGGGTCATAGTCTGCAGATCCTGGAAAATGAGTGACCACTCTTTACCTTGGGGTGTTCTTCAAAAGACTTATTCAGGCTGTCTCCATGAGAGCTGTATATCTAAAATCATATGAAATTTTTAGTCCTTATTATAGAAATCAAATGCTCAATAAATATCAGGTTCCCTCCCTTGCCCTTCCCAGGAACACTATGGAAAAAGTACTTCTATTTAATCTCTAGTAACTTGCCTTGCTTTCTGGCTTGATTAGGTGAACCTGCTCCCTGCCCCCACCTCATGTCATTAACACTTCTGAGCTTTTACGTAAAGCTCAGCAAGATTAGATATAAGGTTGCATTGAATAATCTCCTACATAGGTCATCCACTTTACACCTGTAGGAGTGGAGCCACACTACCTGGTTTCATTTTCTTTTCTTTTTTTTTTTTTTGAGACGGAGTTTCACTCTTGTTGCCCAGGCTGGAGTGCAGTGGCACGATCTCAGCTCACTGCAACCTCCGCCTCCCAGGTTCAAGCGATTCTCCTGCCTCAGTCTCCCGAGTAGCTAGGATTACAGGCATGTGCCACCACGCCCAGCTAATTTTGTATTTTTAGTAGAGACGGAGTTTCTCCATGTTGGTCAGGCTGGTCTTGAACTCCCGACCTCAGATTATCTGCCTGCCTTGGCCTCCCAAAGTGCTGGGATTACAGGTGTGAGCCACCGCGCTGGCTCATTTTCTTTTTTTTTCTTTTTTCTTTTTTTTTGAGACAGAGTCTTGCTGTGTTGCCAGGCTGGAGTGTGGTAGTGCGATCTCAGCTCACTGCAACCTCCGCCTCAGGTTCAGGTTCAAGCAGTTCCCCTGCCTCAGCCTCCCGAGTGGCTGGGACTATAGGCACGTGCCACCACGCCCAGCTAATTTTTGTATTTTTGTAGAGATGGGATTTCACCATGTTGGCCAGGCTGGTCTGGCCTCCTGACCTCAGGTAATCTGCCTGCCTTGGCCTCCCAAAGTGCTGAGATTACAGCTGTGAGCCACTGCACCTGGACCTATTAATGGCACATACTAATGCCTTTAAGGGTTTTTTATGCCAGGCACAGTGACTCATGCCTATAATCCTAGCACTTTGGTAGGCTGAGGCCGGCAGATTGCTTGAGCTCAGTGGTTCGAGACAAGCCTGGGGAACATGGTGAAACCATGTTCTTTCCTCTACAAGAAAAGTACGAAAATTAGCCGGGTATGATTGCATGCACCTTTAGTCCCAGCTACTCAGGAGGCTTATGTATAGGAGGATTGCTTGAGCCTGGGAGGTGGAGGTTGCAGTGAGCCAAGATTGTGCCAGTGCAGTGGCACTGAGTGAGACCTTGTCTCAAAAAAATAAAAAAAGTTAATATTTTATTAATACCATTACTATTTGTAGGATGAATTCCTGGAAGTCAAGTTGCTGGTTCAGAGGGTATGTTCATCTGTAATTTGTGAGCTGTTCCCAATAGTCCTCTGTCAAAATCGTACATGTATATGGTCCCACCAGCAGTGTATGAGAGTGCCTGTTTTCCAACACGTGCTGTTAAGCTTTGATCTTTGGTACTTTAGTACAGTTTAATGGGCATGTGTGTGTAAAGTTGAACATCAGTTTGTTGAAAAGCCATTCATTCCCAGGCTCCTCCTTGTCTCCTACTTCTGCGGCTGCTGCTTCTCAGGCTTTTTGGTGGCTCCTCTTCCTGATGTCCCTTGAATGTTGGTGTTCTTGGGGCTAGATTTCCAGTCAATGCATCAGACCTGGTGTTCACTTTTTTGTCAAATTATTCTGCTTGAATATTTCAGACTTCATATATTCAGCATGCTCAAATCCAGTCTCTTTATTTCTCTCTCCAAATTTGCTTCCCTGGATGGTTCACTTTAAGGAATGATCATATGACTCATTCAGGAAAAAGTGGTTTGAGTGTAGGTTCTGGGGTAGATAGATGGTTGAATCCTGACTACTACTTTCTACTTAGATTACCTTGTTCGTATTAATTAACCTCTTCACACCTTTGTTCTCTCATCTTTTTTTTTTTTGAGACGGAGTCTCGCTCTGTCACCCAGTCTGGAGTGCAGTGGCTGGATCTCAGCTCACTGCAAGCTCCGCCTCCCGGGTTTACGCCATTCTCCTGCCTCAGCCTCCCGAGTAGCTGGGACTACAGGCGCCCGCCACCGCGCCCGGCTAGTTTTTTTTTTTGTATTTTTTAGTAGAGACGGGGTTTCACTGTGTTAGCCAGGATGGTCTCGATCTCCTGACCTCGCGATCCGCCCGTCTCGGCCTCCCAAAGTGCTGGGATTACAGGCTTGAGCCACCGCGCCCGGCTGTTCTCTCATCTAAAAATGCAGTGATAGGCTGGGCGCGGAGGCTCACGCCTGTAATCCCAGCACTTTGGGAGGCCGAGGTGGGTGTATCACTTGAGGTCAGGAGTTCGAGACCAGCCTGGCCAATGTGGTGAAACTCTGTCTGTATCCTGATTACTCAGGAGGCTGAGGCACAAGAATTGCTTGCACCCAGGAGTTAGAGGTTGCAGTGAGCCGAGTGCACACCACTGCACTCCAGCCTGGGTGACAAAGTGAGATTCCGTCTTACACACACACACACACACACACACACACACACACAGTGAAACCCTGTGTCTACAAAAAATTTAAAAATTGGCCGGGCGCGGTGGCTCAAGCCTGTAATCCCAGCACTTTGGGAG